GAGAGAGAGAGAGAGAGAAAGCATGGAGGGCTATAATTAGTAAGTGATTAACGAGCAGGCATCAGACAGGTCCCACATCATTGATTGTGATGTTGTGCAGTGCTGCTGCAGCGAAAACGAGCCGGCCCTGAGAGGGGGCGCCGAGGTCACCGCTCACACACAAACACACACGGCGGCGTGTTTTGTTCTTTGGTGCACAAAAGCAGCCAACGGTCATTCGTGAGAACATGAAGGCAAAGCACATTATGTCAAACTGGTTGTGGTTGCTCGAGACTCGCTTCAAATCACCTAACCTTTCAAATAGAAATCATGTACTTCACATTTCCGCTCACCATTTTCCAAAGTTTGAGTTTTTGATGTATTTTGTCTTCTTTTCTAGGAAGTCTAAGTAGAGCGGTCTAGGTGGAGGCACAGCCTTACCTCTAGAGCTGCAGACTGACCCTCAATACTACTTAAGACGTATCAGTAGAGTTAGGAATCCCACAGTCGTCTTTCAGGTTCGATCAGAACATTGTTGTTTTGAGACAAGTTCTCAAGTCAAGACCTTTAAAATACTAAGAGCCAGAGGGTGGTGCTAGCGATGAGGTACAATTGCTCCATTAATGTTAAGACTAAACAAGCAGAGGTTTAACTGCCATCTTGTTTTATCCAGCCTTCATACTCTCAGGCTACCCCGATGATTCCTCCCTCTCCATCCTCCCTCCCTCAGCAATGTTAGCTCAACCCTCAGAAAGAAGGAGCGAGAAGAGAGATGCAGGAAAGACGAAATGCTGAGGGAGGCAGAAAAAGAGAGAAAGAGAATCCTGCTCCTCCCCTTCTTTCCTCTCCTCTTTTTTCTTTCTCTGGTCAGGTGCCAACATCAATGTACTCTGCTGTATGGCTGGGCGGGCACAGAGAGTGCTGGCCCGTCACGCATGGCATAACGTCGCTCTGTCCTTGCTCCCATTATTTAGCCTGCCAAGCTAATCATAATGATGATGACAATGAGAAGGAGGAGGATGAGAAAGTGAACGGGAACTTGGCTCAGCTTCCCCTGTGGTATGGATTTCTGTAACGGAGGAGTGAGATTGACTTCGCCAGCGAGCATGTGGAGGCTGTGAGTGTGTCAACAGGGAGGGGACGGGGGGGTAGGTGTGAACATGTGCATTAGGGTGCTGCTCAGGCTGCCTTTTTCTGTCGGAAACCATTATAACCCGAGAAAAAACTAACTGAACCTGACCAGAACCTGACAGGCGTTCTGTTCTCTGTGTCCGAACCCGATGCAGGTAATGTGACCTGCACTGATGTCTTGTCTACACTTCACTGGATATATCATTGCCCACCCTTTTTAAAAAAATCTCTGTCCACATTAGCTCAGTTTTACAAAATATCTCCAATTGAAAACGCAGCAACGACCACAAACGCTCAACAAGCATGTTGGACAATAGGTAAGAGCACTGTGGTCCAAGTTATCGCAGACGCCTGTGAATGTCGTTTATGTGGTGCAGTGATTTTTAATTCCTAATAAGACCAAGCAGTGCAAACCAAACGTAGAGAAACTGGTACATAATGAAACATGGAACATCATTGTTGTTTCTGGCTCATGCTAATTGAAGAGGGCAACGGTGGGAATGTTGTGATGTCACAGTTTCCCAAACGCTACTTTTACATGAACACACGGATATGCAGAAATCAGTAAAAACCTCAGTTTTAGTCATTTAAACTGCTGTTTGCCTGTTGATGAGCCTAAACACAGAATCGAAATCTCTTCTCAACGTGCTCTAGTCTGATATCCGCACTCTGCAAAAGGTTTTAGCTGTTAGCGACCATCAGCGTGTGCATGTGTTCTCCTCACGCCTACCTTGTCATTGTTGTAGTAGGCCAGACTCTCGCCATTGAACCGCATCCACCTCCTTTGAAAAACACAATTTCTGCAGAGAAAAGTTGAGAAAAAAATCAGTTTGATCAACTCAACGGCCTGTCAAGCAAAACAAAGACTAGAAAATGTCCACAGCTGTCAAGACAGAGAAACTCATATTTCATCAAGAGTGTCTGATTCATTAATTCATTACATTATGAGTTGTATCAACAGATGCCAATCAGCACAGTCAAAACAAATGGCTACTTTTGGTTTGAATATCAAACAGCATGGGGGCAGTTTGCCAAAACTATGCAAATCAGGTGGTGAAAAAGAAAATATAAAGAGGAAGTCTGTGAGAGCAAGAGACCATGGGTAGAAAATAAACGAAAGTCGATACAATGTGCATCTGAATGCTGCAAGGTTATCTCCCATCTTTTATTCCTTCCCTTTCAATAGGGCCATGCATTATGTAAAGATCTCCCCCAGGCGTCTGTATCTAATGCTATTTAAGAGTTTTAAATAATCATCAAACACAGAGGACACACGAAGGGAAACGAGGATGCAGAATGAAAAGGATCTAAAGAAACAGGAAGTGGTTGTAGATCGTAGCGCTCCTCCTTCACTGTACTGGCGTGAGGTATATTTTGGGTTGTTTAGGTTGTACTCAAAAGAGAAAGAGAACTTGCATTGATCTTAATAGGAAATTAATATTTATGACCTGTGCAGAGTGGAGCTGCAGTAAAAGCATCAGTAGTGAGGATTTCATGCAGGCCCATGTATCATTACATCAGATGAAGAGGGCATTTCTAACGTCTGATAATCCGAGCTCATTAAATTCATCATCCTCAGCAGAACTGTAACTTACCCTTGAGGCGACAGTTTGTCCAGCCAACCCACTTTGAGCATCTTGAGTTTGGGGGCTCCATAAAAACAGGCATAAGGGGAGATGTCAGGCAACGCGTTGCTGCTTACGCCCCCCAGAGCGTCTGCAGGCTGCGAGTAGAGGTCACAGTCCACCATGATCAAGGATCCGTCCTTAGGGCCAGTGGCAGCCGGACCAGGAGCAAGACCATCAGGGTTCACAGCGAAACTTTTGTCTAAAATGGCTCGCGGCAAAAAGCCGGCACACTCGTCCACTGTTGAATACTCGTCTTTGAAGGGGTCTGGGTCTGTCAGTGCCGATGAAGACTCGCTTTCCTTTGACTCTTTCTGCTTGGATGTCTTTTTTCTGTGTGAACACACGACACATAATGTGTTGAGTGACAAGTTAAGAATTTATGAGTTTAAAGAGTGAAATGCTACTGGGATGAAGAACATGTTTCTCTGGAGTTTCAACTCCTTTACCAGCATCAGTGCGAAGTGTGGTTTGGCTCTGTTGCACCTGTGATCACCAGTGATGTCCCAGTGCACCAAACTCAGGTAGTATATAAAAATTGACGACAGGCACACTCCCCAAAACTGAAGCCAAAATGTATCGATGACCATTTATATTGAACAAATTTATGAAAAGGAGAGTGAAATTACAGGTTAAATAAATGTCTTAGGTTTCTGTCATTTAAGGAAATTCTTATCAGACTGATGTAGGTCCAAAAATGACCACGTGTTCATCATGAGGAGCTTTCAAGCATTTGCTGTGTCAAGTTAAAGGTACAGTGTGTAGAATTTTAGTGTTGAAGTTGCATGTTGCAGCTGAACACCCCTCACCTCACCCTCTCCTCCCAAACATGAAAGAGGACCTGTGGCAGCCTTCAGTTTTTCATAAAAACTCAAAAGGTGTTTAGTTTGTCCAGTCTGGACAAATGTAAAAAACATGGCGGCCTCCGTAAAGAGGGTCCCCTCGATGTAAATATAAAGTATTTGAATAAAAACTGACTTTTCTGGGGTAAAGAAAACTACAATTCATACAATTTAGATGAAACAAACTAGTGAAAACATCATGAGGATTATTCTACATTAAATTTCTGCCAATAGATCCCTTTCACTTAAATCTTACACACTGGACCTTTAAGGTTAGCATTTTGCTCAAAGCATCACTGTACTTTAGTACAACCCCACAGAGCTGCTTAAATCGATTATGGAGTGTAGGGTCATTTCTTCCAAATCTACAATTGGATATTAAATACTCAATAGTCAAACTATTAGAAAATGAGGCCTGTTATTTCAATTCTAATTGAGAAGATGTGTAAAATCACCCTGACTACTGCTCTTAATTATTCTGGTCACAATGCAGCTTCAGAAATGCATCTTGTTCTAGTACATACACTCCTTTTTTTTAAGATGTGACCACATATTTGCATTTTAATATGTGAACATGTGAACTAATTCTGTGGCTGGAAGGAATGTTTCTGAAACTACACAGGGGTTGTTGTTTGAGTCAAACATCCAGGGCATGAGGTAGCAGCATTACAACAGAATACCATACCTCAGTTTCCGCTGTTTCATCTTCTCCTTAAACCCCTGCTGCAACCCTTCTTTAGCGCCTTGGCCCTGCAGAGCACAGAGGAGATTAGCATCAGATGAATCCATCTTTCAGTCAGACACTGTTATCGTGTTGCTGCACTAAGCTATGTTAACTTTAGTGGCTAGGCGACATTTCTATTAACCTCAGGGGGCAAAATGGAACAAGCACATTTTCCACTCTGTTGTGCGACCACGTTGACAATTTTAACACCAAGAGGGAAGTTGGGTGTGCAGGCTGCAAAACCTCAGATAATGCTGAAGATCTGACAAACGTCTGTTCCTCTTTGCTAAGCTGCTACTCACTGTCCACCAGTGGGAGTGTGTGCTCTCTTACCTCAGCGATTTCAGGGTTGTTGTACAGGAACGTCTCTCCATAGGGAGCAATAGGTGTCAAGATACTTTGAAGTGAAGCTAAAAAGGACGAAGGAACAACACAGCAGTGGTTTTGTCATTGAGCATTGAAACTTGCAGAACAAAGTGCAAAGGCCTATAAACGCCTTTGGGCATTTTCACTACTGAAAGTCCAAACAAGTTCACTTAATTAACCTTGCTGCCACTGTAACATGATTATAATATTACTACCAGCAAAATTAACATCTTAGTGGATCAGGCCTTCGATCGTCAGAGACAAAGACTACAAGAAAACCTGCAAGGCACTTCCATTTCTAAATTTTGGTCCCACGCTCCGCCTTTCCCCTATTATATTTGCATGGGCTAAACTGGAAAGTCTGGTGATGTGTGAAAATGCCCTATATGTCACCAAACTTAAAGTGTGATCCACCTCAGTCAGTCTCAAACAGACTGAGTCCCTGCCACGGCCATTTATCTGCCTCGGCTCCTGCAGGGAGAGTGGTCAGTGCAAGATGAGGAAGAGATTCTGACCAGACACCATTAGTCTGGAGACCTCGGGGCCACCCTGCGTGGGATGCTGCCTGTCTCTGTGAAAAATGACACCGGCCTCTCCTGAGGACTGTGAGGGTCAGGAGACACCGCCACGGGGCTAGACACACACACAAACACTGGCGGAGGAGCAGATATGCGTGCAGACGGTGAGACGTACAAAGATCGAAACACCTTCAGACACAACGTTGCCTTGAGAAAAACCACAGGCATGAAAAGGATGGACGGGGAAATAAGCAGAGTCACATTCACCCTTACAGATGTGAATGTACTGCTTTCTAGAGCTTTATAGACACACACTTCCTAAACAATGCAGGGTGTCACAAAGGTCATGTCCTGGGCTTGGTGCACTTTATGAAGGGGTCTGTTTATTTGATGATAGAATCCGCAGCAACACAGTGGCCTCTCCACGGACAGGCTCTGCGGGCAGATGGCAACCATCGATCATCATCTATCAGGCAACCTTCAGGTCACTCATGATTTTCTCCCAAGGCCACTGGATCCGGCTGCACTCAATTCCTGTCTGATTCCCCTCTATTCTTCCCTCTCTGGCTCCGTCCTCACTTCATCCTTGTTTCTCTCAGTTGACCACGCTGCTTCTTTATCTGCCTCGCGCCCCGACTCACTCTGGAGTGGCTGTCTGGGAGGCGACCTAGATGCAGTCATCGATGAGGAGTCGGTGAGGAGATTGATTGAGGAGAGACTGAGGAGACTGATTAGTTTCTGAATGAAGCCCCTCTGCTTTTAAGTCTGGGAGTTGCAGATCAGTTTGTTATAACCATTTATCCATGTCACTTCCACAGCAAGCATGGCAGACACAAAACTGCCACCAACTATATTCACATTAATCAACCAAAAATGTGTCACTTCAGTCTCCAATTCCCAGAATTAAAGCATGAAGGGAATTCTTTTTGCATTTTTCTTCGTAAGGATAATAATGATAATGTCAATGTTTTGTTAAAATGTTTCATGTTGTTTAGTTTATAGAAGAAGCAACTACAAAACTCAAGGTTACAAATATGCAAAACTGTACCTGATTCGATCTAATCTGCAATTTATTTGTTTGTTTTTTTTGTTGAAAGCATCACTGTGCTTTGACCTTGGAATGATATTCAACAGATAATATAGTCAACAACACCCTCCACTCTCAGCTGATGGGATTTTATAGGAAAGAGACACAAAAATAAACAACAACACAAACCCTCGATCAATCAATCACAGTGGCTTTGCTGATACAATATTCCCATCAGCCCCCTCTGTTTCTGTTTAGTGCTAATACGCAACATCAAACGTGCTAAACTGAGCAGCACTGAAACAAATGGAGGTTAGCATTGACTCTGTTGTTGTTGATGTTTTTGGATTTTGGTTGTTGTGTTTGTTTTATGCCCATCACAGGAACTGAGAGTGCAGGGTTGAAGGTGAAGTATTGAACTATTGAATATTCTTCCAAGGCTGCTGAAGAAACATTACAGAAAAAAATGTTTTCTCAATGAGATTTTTCTCCTGAAGGAGTTGTTTTTTTTGTGATGGGGTCAATTAAAATTCTGCCAGCCTCCCTCCCATCACTCTGTGAGATAACGATGTTACATTACAACTTCTGGATCTCATCTCAGAGTAAACTCTTCAAATATGCTCGGATAAAATGATAAGTTAAATAACGCCTTGCTGTGAGGGGAGATTCAATGTGGCAGTCGAGCTCCCCGTATCCCAGCTCTGGGACCGCCTCACCTTCCTCTCTTCCTCCATCTCTCAACCTGTTTTGCATCCATCTCCTCTTCCTTCCTCCCAAACCACTTCACTGTCTCGGCTTTTCTCTCTCGTCTCGCTCCCCGTCTTGTTCCACACAGAGAGCGGGTTGGCAAAACAAGGCCAACCAAGAGACTGCGGCAGAAAAGGTACACAGAACAAAGAGCGAAGACGAGGCCTACAGACAGAAATCAGTTGATACGTAGCCAGAGTCGCAATGGGGTCAAATCTTTTCCCAAAGAGAGTGACATGTTCTCAGGTGTATACCGCGCACCAATACAGACTGTCATAGAGAGGCATCATAGGAGCAGCTCACGTACATCGTACATCACGTACTGCCTCATCAGATGAGACATGAGGGTCGACTAGGCCCAGTAAATACAGCGCAGCGGAGGCAAAATTCAAATATACATTTGTACTGGTTGTACTACAAGCCTGTGTGTTGTTAGCAAAGTTAAACAACTTCTAAAAAACTTTACACACCAGGGTCCTTCTAAGGGACAAGATGTGAGAGAGCATATTTCCCGCGAGATGAGCACTTGAAACCATGCAGGGCTACGCCGTTCCCCACGACATTGCCGCAGAGCTCCCCCACTCCACCCCACCCCACCCAAGCGCTACCCTCATCTCTCCTCCCGTCTTTCATCCGAGCAAACAACAGCACCACTGACTCTACTGACGAATGAAATATTCATGGCGGGGATGAAGTGGATGCGGCTGAAAGACTGCGTGTACCTTTCTGTATGCCGCTTGCACCCGTGGGACTTTCGGAGCCAGTTACGTTTTCAGGGCTGGTTGTTTGCGCTGGTGGTGTGCTCCTGAGGAGGAAGAGAAATCAGTGGTTTAGAACCCCCAATTCATGCACGTAAGGAAAAATAGGTAATGCAACATAAGCATATAGACATTTAGAATAGAGATGTGAAAGTTTCACAATTCAAACGTCCAACAACATTTAGTATGATGATATAATAGAATGGAGAACTGAAAAGTAGAGAACTGGGTTTCTCCAAAATCTGAATGTGAAGCGAGAAATTAATTCACATGACGGCAGCATGCAAGTGTATCTCTTCAGGTGCTTTTCACCATTGTATTCCAACTTGTTTGATAAGTTTTCAGAAACTGCTCATAAACTCTCGTAAAGTCAAACTTTGTGCTTAACAAATAGTTTGACATTCTGGGAAATACACTTATTCCCTGTCTTGCTGGGTAAAAACATGAAGCTTAAACAGTAGCAGGTACAAAAAAAGAAAAAAGGATGAAACAGCAAATGAAGACTTTCTTAATGTATCATCAAACTTCTCTGTACAGAAAACTTACATCACAAGAAGTGCATTAGGAAAAAATATTAATTTAACTTGTTACAAGTATTTAGAAAAACACATTCGAGGTACGCAAGATCAAAAGTTGGCATTAGAAAAGACGCCAGGCGAGCAGTCTGTTCATATCCATACTGTGGCATCAGTGTTCTCATCTAGCTCCATCAAGAAACTGAAAAAGTTTTTATGCAAACATGCCAGAAAACTTTTCACCTATTAGTTTCAGAAAATGAATAAGAAAATAACTTAGGCCTTTACCTGTCCTGAAATGGCGGTATGGTCTGAATCGGGATTTTAGGAACAGGTCGGTGTCTCAGCCTGTAGGAGCGAGTGAACCGTGGCCGTGAGGGACTCTTAAAACTAGGCTGTGCCTCATAGATGGAGTTCTCCACCATTACACCCTGAAACCCCCCTCCGTCTTCAGTCATCGATTGCTGGGGTTTTTCATTAGGATGGGGCACGGAGTTGGGGCTCAACAGCGAAGGGTCCTTGGAGGAAACCTCCCAATCTGAGGGCATTTCTGAAACACAGAGGGACTCACTGCTGCTGCTGCTGCTGCTGCTGGAGAACACTGAAGGAGGGATGCTGGTCTGTGCAGATTTGGATGTTTGAATGTTTTGGGGATTGCGTGGGGCAGGTTGAGGTGGAGGGAGGTACCTGTCCTCTGTTTCTATTCCCAGTCCTGCTCCTGGAGGTAAACTCAGACTCCCCTCCAACTCATACTGCCTCTTGTCCTTTGGCTGATTGTGCTGACATGATGTCCCCCTGTTCTTGTCCTTTAGGAAGATATGTCTAGGATGGGGCACTGGCTTCCTTCTGCGCCTCCCATTCTGTACACCTCCCTCCTCTTCTTCTTCTTCTTCATCCTCTCCCCCACTTGGAGGCTTCACCCCTAGCGCTTCCAAACTGCGGAGGATGCGCCTGCGATGTCCCGTTGGAAGGACTTCAAGCTCCAGGAGGCGCTCATCGGTGAGGTCCTCGCAGTCTTCCAGAGATTGGTATCCTCCCTCTTGGAAACAGGGGATATACTGGGATAGACGAAGGGTAGACAGCCACTCCTCAACCTCCTGGCTGGGATCCGGAGGCTCCAACATGGTGCTCTATTTTCAGATCTGCCACATCAGGACGGCCTTTAGAAGACGTAGTGGTCCAACCTAAAACCAAAAGACACAAAAACAGATAAAAGTAAGTGATGGTTGAAGATTAACGCTGCGATCTTCTGCACCAAACTGAATTTAATATTTTACTTGGGAGTTACTAAGTTCATGACTCCACTCTTGTACCAGAGACAGGATTATTAACCTTTGAAACATCCATTAACTCAAACAGGAATGATCTAAAATATCTGTGAGGCTTTAGCAATATGCATTTTTTTCCCACAAACCCAAATTAGGCAAAGTGGATATTGATTATGTTTTGCTTTTGAAAATGTAAGCCTTTGATTTCAGCTTGAGATACCACATCGATGGCATGAATCATCTGCAGCTGTGGGTCTGTGTGACCTCATTAACAGAACGCTTTGACATTTTGGGGAATTGACTTCTTCACTTTCTTACCGTGAGTGAGATGACAAGATTAATATACGAGTGTCACAACTGTCTGTTAAATCTGAAGGTCGAGCCTGGTGACAATAGGCTTAGCTTAGCATAAAGGACGACAACAAGAAGATTGAGCATCCTATAAACCAACAAACATAATTTCATAGATAGAAGCGTCTAATGTGAAATTTTACCTTACAGCTCCACACAATAAGCTCATTTTCCACAATGTTTACTACCCCTTCAAGTTTACCCTGAATGTCTAAAGAGCCATTTATTGTTCACTCAGCAAAGAATGAACACAAACACATAAACAGAACCAGATGCAAATATGCAACACTTCTGGATGAAACAGCTATGAGGAAACAGCTACAAGGAAACTGAGTGCCACCACCATCACATGGTTTCTCGGTTTGGTTCAGTTAAGATATTAACACCAAGGTTTGACAAAAAAACCAAACATTTTTACCGCAGGGTTTAAAAATGTAAGCTGTATATTGCAGCTCAGGAGAAACAGCCAATTGTTCTAAAAGTCCATTTGTTAATATCTCCACACCATCTCATCCTCCATCTTGCAATCTTCCACTCACACACACTTGAAACTCACAGGACCATCTTCTCACGTTCACTTCTCTCTTGGGTACAGGGGCAGTAAAGCGGCGTCACTTCTGCTTTCGGGGAAATAAACTTGGGTCATGTTGGGTACATGTTTGAGTGTTTTACTGCTGTAATGAACACAGACAGGAACTGCCCCTTTGAACGAGTTTCAATATGAAATAAGTGAAAAATAAATAATTCGAAGAGTTTTCCTCATTTTTTGTGCAAAACAGCTGTATTCATGCACAAAAGGTAAACCAGTGGTGCTTTTTGTACGAAACATATTATCTTGTGAGCACACATCACACCTTAGCTGCTGCACGGCCTTGTATTATTAGCGCCGGGCATGCAGGGACAACTTTAAAAGTCCCCGCTCAACTCACAACAATATCCAGTGCTGAAAACAGAGGCCTGCGCTGCACAGTCTGTCAGAGCAGCCCAGCTGTGTGATGCAGTGTTAACATGCAGGGGCCCATGTTGGCTAACAGCCAGCTCAGGCACACGCCAAAGCTTTCTACCGTATTTGACCCTAGCTCGCTCCACATCATTGCCTTTTAGCGCTTCTACGCCCACTCATGCAGCTGCACTCAAACACAAAACCACACACTTTTACTGGAACACACACATTCGGCGAACGTTATTAAGGGCTGGAAATAGAAGTTGTGATCCACAGCTGCTGCCCACTGGTGTCACAGCCCAGAGAGTGTAGATCAATAGAGCAAAAAGAAAAAGAATGTCATTTATAGGCAGGAGAACATATGAAGAAATGTGTGTGTGTGTGTGTCTGTCTGTCTGTGTGTGCATTTATACAACTGCATTCTATGGGGGCCCTGAAGTGCAGAACACAACTGCAACTATAAGACAAGACAACGGCAATAAAGAAAACATAACAGCAATAAGAGGGAACAATGCCAAATGACAAAATGCAGTATGAAACCACAGCAGCAACTAACGAAACACATCAGCAAAGAAAGAAACTGAATGGAAAACAAGAAAACACCACCACATAACGACAAATTACAAAACACAAAAACAACTCAGAGAACATAATAGTGAGTAAGAAAACACAACAATGAAGAAAACACAAGAGCAATTAAGAAAACAACTGCAAATTATAAAACACAATAAAAAAATATTTTGTGCTGTGTTTTGTGTTTGGCTGTTATGTTTTGCACTTCAGGGCCACCACACACACACACACACACACACACACACACACACAAATCACAGACAAACAATAACAGCAATATTTGAACACAAGATATTGTTAACTACACAAAACCAGCTGCCAGCACAGGAGAGGTGTGTGTCACCCACTTCTACAAGGTGCCTCTCTCTCTTCACTGCAGCTAAGGTATGCTTGGAGATGAGTGAGTCACACACAGCAAGCACGCCCATGCATGCACACACACACACATACCTCTTCAGTGCCAAAGTCCAATGTGTATCCTTCCTGGTTTGAGAGAAAGAAAGACAAACCTGTGGTGTTTTGCAGTTGAATTGTAGTGGAATCATTTCATGTACAGGGCTGAGATGTGTGTAAGTGTGTGTGGGTGTGTGTCCATCAGTGTGTTTTCACCACGTGTGAAAATTGCGAATATTGTGTGTTCACACATACAGGAAAAGGTTGTTTCAACACTGTCTATATATTGCGACAAGAGTCCATTATTTAAGTCTCACTGCAGGGCTTTACTTTCAATTTACACTTACTCTAAGGAGCCTGAGCTACATATGTGACACTAACACACCCAGCACTAATATAGAAACCACATGCACACTCTGGCCTCGATTAAATGAGCCTGGTGCTCTTTAGCGCGCACCTAAAACGAGTTGAGATCAATGAAGAACACCTGGGCTCAGGATGTGTTGGTTTCTGCAGAACTTACCTGCAGGTGGAATCCTCAGGTATCATCCACACACCTTTACACGCGTCCTCTCTGTCATGTTGTGCAGCTCTGGAGTTTTTGTTGAGCCTCTCGCACACACTCACTCACTCACACTCACACACACACACACGTCTGTTTCCGTTCCCTCTGTTCAGGCACGCCCACTTTCCAAGCGCAACGCCACAACTTGTTACGCACCGTGGCACAAGCGCAACCTTCGCACCTCCGCTTCCATCACCAAACACCGCAGGGTGTAAAATAGTCTTGATGACTTTTCAATTTCGTCTTTGTAAACCTGTTTACACAATGAAACAAAACGCAAACCGTGCATGTGTGTGATAAGCTGCAGCAAAGTGGAGGGAACACAAGAGTGTGCGTGTCCCAGCTTGATCCAGAGGCCCCAGGCTACACATCCAGCTCACAGAGGAATGCAGCAGCCTGATACCTGACTCACACCATGAAGAAGAAAAACACACATTCACCCACTTGATTTACTCCCATTGCTCTTTCATGTACCACCTTTGTGTTCACATTGGACTGTAACATGTTGTATAAGACAGAGGTGCAGAAATGAGGACCATCACCATAAACATGGGGGACGATAAATAAATGAGTACATTCTATATATCCAGTTGATATTATTAACAAAAAAAAACAAAGTCAAAGCATAAAATAGCATCAAGTCAAAGACAAAACATCAGAAATGCAAGTAAAATCATCAATAAATGAATAGATTGTACATTGGTTTCTTATTTTTAGGTTTGTGTCGTTCCAGAAGGGTGTGTTGAAGCAGAAGGGTGCTGTTTGCACAATCAGCCAGATGATGGCGGCAGAGAGCTGATACAACAATGACTAAAGCTGTTTTGTCTATTGGTAGTTTTCTTATGTCTTAATACTGGGTATTCTAATTTAAATATTGTATATTATATTTAATAAAAACACATTCTACTACTTTATATTATCATTGGTATTCAGTCTATTTCTAAGTACTTTATTTTTTTGTCTTACTTTCTCTTTTGACGTCGAGATTCCCGGAAAAGGTTTTTCATTCTACAATACTTGTCAAACCCGTGTGACAATAAAGACAGTTTTAAAAAAAATGTGCAATAGAGATGAACTGACTTGACTCAACAGTTCGCAGGAGGAAATAGAGGCGTTAATAAAATGAGGCTGAATTCAGTGTCTGTGTTTCTGTTTCAGGACATTTGACAGTTGTTCAGGTCAAATTAAGTTGGTGTTTTTTTCCAACTTTAAGTTGAAAAGTCATGAAAAAAGGCCCATAGAGATTTTTCATGTGATGGAGTTACACAGTTTTCCTTAAAACAGATAAAGATAATCAACAAACCACAGTGGTTTATAATTCACTAACATGTTTTCTGATGTCTAATACTTTGAGACCATTTCACTTTACTTTCACCATTTTTTATTTCAGTGCAGGTTTTACAACTTGTCTTTCTTGTAGTTGTAAAGGAGTATTTTAAGTTAACGATAGTATTTGTACTTTTACTTTGGTTTAGGATCTGAACGCGTCCTGTCTTAGGACAGTAAAATCAGGAATTCTACAGAGACAACACAAAGTGACGCAGAGCAATGTTTTATTGTAAAGTGTTTCATTGAGATGCACTTTTTAAAAGTCTCCGTCCTCTGGTGCAGTACACACACCAGATGTATTTTTACTGACAGGAGCGGATGAAGCCTCAGAGCTGACGTCTGTTACTGTGTGAGCGTACGGGCAGTAAAATGAATGATAGAAGAAAAGAAGGATGGAGGGATGGAGTGTCTGGAGGACAGTGCTCTTTCTTCTGGCTCCTCTTTTGTGTCTCCGTGCCACGCCTCCAGGGGTCGCCTTGGCAACGTGTTTTACTGCTGGCAGCCATATAAATACAGTGCTGGCTCCTGGACGGCTGTACACAGCAACACTGCAAAACCAGGGGCCCTCAGCTTTGCATCTAGAAGGAGGTACACAAGAGAAGGCAATTTTTGCAGGATATTTTTTATATTATTCACAGATATTTTTTGAAATGAGCTGAAAAAGGTGCAGGAAACAGGCCGGATGAGACAATCAGGACTCTTCTCTGTTGTATTTCTCAGCTCTGCGTGAAGGAGAATCTGAAAGAGATGGATGAAGCCGTTTCTCTTCTCACCACAGGGATGGAGGAGGCTCTTCACAACACGTCAACTGAAACTACTCGCAGAGTTGAGGCCGACAGATCATCCAGGGTCCATCATGAGGAGACAGTGGGTGGGAGGAGACGCACAGGTGGAAGCGGAGGAGAGGAGACGCAGACGGGTGGAGAAGAAAGGATGCTCGGTCCAGCAGAATATGAGAGGGAGGCTGAAGTGCAGGTGGAAGAGTGCAAGCAAAAGGTTGTGGGTGTGCTGAAGGAGCTGAGAGTTTTTCACTCAGAGAGAATGACAGCATGGAGAGAGGCCCTCAGCGAGTGTGCCTGCATGCTCAATAAGTCTCCACCAAGGGGCGGTGATCAGCAGGATGCATCAATAACTGGTAGGGAACTGTTCTCAGTCATAAAAGTCTTTGTCTGTCCTTATACATCGGATTTTTAATGAGATATTGAAGAAAATATATTGAGTATAAAAATATATATTTATATTTATTATACTTTTGTTTTTGTCTCTTGTTCAGACTTCTTTAGTGATACCTTTCAGAGTTTGTCGGAGGACATCGAGAACATTACACAGAAACTGAGCACAATTGTAACCAAACTGGAAGCAGAAGTTCTCTGTGTGTCTGCGGAAGAAGCCTCAGGTGTGAATGTGGCGCCTCATGAAACCAGAGACCCAGAAACCTCAGCTCGACCTGAAGTTGGCAGAAAATGCCTGAGCTTTCAGGATCCACTCCACTCTGACTGCGAACAGGAGGCTGAGAATGAAAGTGATCGAAGACATCCATCACCAAACGCTGAGCTAACAGCCGAAATAAGATTGAACTGTTCCGACTGTAGCGATGTGAAGGAAACTGGGGGGGAACTGGAGGTCAAAGGTCAAGTGGATGATAATGAGGAGGGCTGTGTTTCTCCAGTGAGTCAGACAGATTTACTGAAGGAGAGGGACAAGGACACAGGGAGGATGAATGTCAAGGTGGAAGAGGAGACAAAGACAGAATGGATCACTGTCGGGTGAGTTGAATTCTCTAGCACTCGGTCTGTTCACATTGTCCTTCATTTATGTTGAATTATTCTCAAATAGTCTCTTAACTCGGCCAAAGAACTCTAGGATCCTTTTCACACGCCTTCCCTGTTGGCTTTGCACTTTGACAGATCGTCTCCTTTCATTGGCTAATGTCTCCTTAGCTGGGTCCTCATGATGGTAGATGTTGACGGTGATGGCTGACTTCGTTGCTGCTGATGTATCAACACACATGCGGCGCTTGTTTTTGTCAGTGTCACAGGATTGAGACACCACCAAGCCTGCAGCAGACGAAGGACGAATATCTGAAGCCTCTTTCTCCTCACAATTTGTGAAACGGTCTGAGAAAAAGGTTTCATTGTCCATGTGCAGAACCTTCATTTTATCCAGAGCATCTTTATAACTGAATACAACACAACAATACATCAGAGGATCCCTCAATCAGTAAACACACTGTTTCTATTAGTTCAATATCTGTACTGAAACCAAAACACAGTTACTTACTATGGGCTGTCCGTGTAGTTGATTATATGGACCATCGTGAGGAAGGAGTGTGATAGTGCCAACTTTGGGGTGAGCCTCCTCTTTGGGTCAATCTCCAAGAAGCCTTGGATGAGGCTGACAAAAGCTTTCCTGTCATTGAGCTCAGTGGTGCCATGGATTGTTGGGTAGAGCTGGATTTATAACACAGTAGGTGAGAGAATAGTTAAACTACTTAACAGAGACACTGGGGTCAAAAGGATTTGGGCCTTACTGTCATCAGGTCATCGAGTGTTCTAATATGACTTTGCTTTTTCTTGGGTTCAATGCCTGTGCTGCTGTGGTATTCACTGGGGGTCTACAGGAACAAAACATGTATTGGTCAGATACTTCATCATTAATGGGTTACACATTAGAAAAGAGCTGTTGTGTTATTGGGAGATACAATATTTGAAAACTGGAAATGGTTAAAATACCGTTATCCACCATCCTGGTCTGGGCCAGTGTATGTCCTTCTTGAAGTAGCAGTGGGTGTACTTCCCAGCCCTGAGGAGGTGGTCAGCTGGCAGGCCCACCATGTGAACAAGTGCTTTCATCTGGAGAGAGAACATGAAGAATCTCATCCTACTTGATCACATCCCCTTTTCTGTTCCTGGACTGGTCTGAATGTAACAATCGTTGTATTTAAATTAACTTATATCTGGTTTCTTACTTTCTGGTACTCGCATCTGGAGAATGGGTGGTTGCCTAGATACAAAAAGAGAAGCATGCAGCCAAGACTCCACATATCAATGGCCTCAGAGCAGGGGAGGCCCAGAGTGACTTCAGGTGCACTGTGTGCAAACAAGAAGCACAAGAGCTGTTTAGTACATTGTTAAATTCAGCATGTGTAGTGAATATTAGGACAATGTCTGGATCATTTACAATAATAACACACATGTGCAAACAAGGATGAGCTTTGCATATTGAACTTACCGGTAACGCACAGGCTGAAATATCATCCCGAGTTCTTTCAGCGGGCTTTTGAAGGACAAGCCAAAATCAATTAGTTTGACTCGGTAGGGCTCATTCTGATGGTTAACCAGCATTACGTTGTCTAGTTTACAGTCTGCGTGAACCACTTTAATACCTTTCAGTGCTCTAAAAGCTCTGAGCAACTTCAGAGACAAATGAAACAACGTAAAGTGTTAGTTACAGATATCACTGAGCAGAGAGCCGGCTTTAGCAGATCAAGACACAATAGAATTGTGTTACTTCAGTAAGTACGTCTTTTCTCAGTTGGCTGACTATGTTACCACTTGATGATAAATTGATTACCTGGTTAGCTATCGGCCGGATCTCATTGAGTGTCAGTGACCTCTTTCTTTGGTTAAGCAGGCAGTGAAGGTTCATGTCCAGCTTTTCAAACACAAAACATGTTTGACCTTTGTACTTGAACTTCTCAATGAAGTGAACCAGGTTGTTTTTCTCTGGATCGAGAACCTTCACAGCTTTGAGCATCCTGATCTGTGAAGGAAACAGGAAACATTATACAGGAAGTGTAAGTTACAGCGTGGTACCAGCAGTTCTTTTAATAAACAAATCATTAGCTAGAAAATGTGAAAAAAACAAATCTTCCATATGAATAAAATCTTCTTTACCTCTCTTTTAGCAAAATGCTCTTCTTTTAACATCTTGATAGTCACTTCCTGCATTGTGCTAAGATTCACAGCAATGACAACTTTGGCAGAGCGTCCCTCTCCAGCAATGCGCTTGATGAGGTAGCGACTGGTGCTGCTGCACAAAATGTTGCTCTGTGGCTCCTCAGAATTCTCGACCATCTTTTTATCTGTGACAAAGAAGGAGAACATGTGAAGGTTACAAAGAGGAGTCAGTAGGGGCGGGGGTGAACATAAAATACTATTGCCCCAACCTTGTCATATCTTCAAATATCAAATAAATGTTGCGCATGGGATCATGATATAAAGCAGAATAAACCTTGAGTACTTATAGCCTCCTAAGTACTGTACTTGTGTAGACATACTTCCCATCATTGTGTCTTGAGTTGTACTTACCAGTTTTATAAGATGGTCATATCAAAGGACTTACACTTCAAAGACTTCAGAGGGACTTTCATTGTAATGTTTATATAATTACTGCATAGAAGAAATAAATAAATACAAATAAATACATTTGGTAATAAAAACAGCTTTTTATGTATTTTTTACATGTATTTATTTATTTATCGGTATTTCTACATTGATTTAATTATTTATTTATATTCTAATTATCTATTTCTGTAGTTCTACATTTCTATGGGAATTTATTTCTGTATTTCTGCATTTATTTCTGTAGGCAGTCCTACCTCAGCATAAAGCTGGATGGTTTTTAGGTCAGATCTACTACTACTGCCTTGCCTTGACTTCAGCTGTGTGAAACATACGGCAGGTGCTCCTTAGTGAATACATAATGTATGAGTCACTTTTGAACCATGTGTAAAATCAATATTTATGTTTGTTCATAAAATAAGAGGGAAAAAGAAAAAATGATTTGTGGTAATTAAAAACAAGATATTTAATGAATGCCTGGAAATATAAAATGATAAAATACATTTATTTCAAAGATATAGCAGAAAAACACCATGCATGAAATAACATAGGAAATAAATAAATAAAACATGTCAACAACTCCTCCCATTTAAAAGAGAAGCTGCTTACCACTTTTCTCTTTATCTTTCATGGAACTGGCTTAGTGAGTGTGATTTCTTCCCCTCATTTCGCTCGTTCACTCTTACTTAAGTTAGCTCTGCAGTGCTTTATCACTAGGTGCACGTGTTCTCACCACCTGGCCTCCCCACAGTCGTCTGTTTCATACAGTTCACCGTGTCAATATGAACATTTGTCCGACGTTCAGATCAGAGGACGAGGCCAACTCTGAGAGAGGCTGATATCAAAATTTGATTACTGACACTTTTCTCCCTTCCAGAAATATTTCCTAAAGATAAAACATTTCTGCTATAAATTCTACATCTTATTGCAACGTTAAATATGATTGTATTTGTATTTTTGAAATAATATCTAGGCTCACCGGTACAATGGAGGACATTCAATCACAGCACGTACCAGACGCATGCTTTATCAGAGCGCCTTTGGGTGCAGCTGAAGTCCTGAGCTGTGAAATGGCCGATGCCCTCAGCTGCCTCATGGTGACCGGGGCGGAGGAGCTGGTCAGCAGAGTGATCAGGGTCAAAGTTCAAGGCAGAGCCAACTTCCACTTCCCCGTGACCTTGGTCGTGCCCTTCTGCGCACGTTACCGGGGCAACTACCGGGATGTCGCTGTCAAAATAATCGATGAGGAGAGGAGGGCGAGTTACGTCACTCCTGCAACAACAGAGGGCACGTATGGAGGACAGAGGGTAAAATTTTCTATGTGCATATATTTGCAAATGGTTTTTTGTCTTTTATTTTTAATATCAGAAATTCAATATGGACAGGGTTCTTCCTTATCAATGGAAGCAATTGTAATATAATAATAACACCTTAGTACCCCATAATTGTACATAAGCTCAATCTAAACCCTGATCAAACATCAAGCAGATGTAATTTTCTTATTTGGGAGTTTATAACAGATTTCTCTGTAACAGATAATTCAATTTGTTTCATTTATGTCCTCACAGGGCTCATTTGCAGAAGTGAGGGTCTACGCCTTAGGTCTCTGTGCAGTGGTTTCCCGTCTCAAAAGAGAAAACTACACAGTTCCCAGAAGGGGTCTGTCACTCAAGCTCGCAATGGACCCCCGCATTTGTCTCAACTACCTCCCAGGAGCCTTTGCTGCTCCAGTGATGGCACAAACCAAGGTATGTGGATGATTTGATCACTTTCCATCTCCCTTCCACTTTGATCAATATCAATCCTTCTCTCTGCTACATTTAATAAGAGTTTGGTATACAGCAAAAATCATTGGTTTCCACCGCTGATTTGTTTTAGGCTGTTTGGGATTTCAAAGTGGGTAAAGGTTTGTGTAAATTGGAGATCAGCCGTTTGAAAAAGTGTTCCCTGCTCAAAATACTGCAATTGCTCCAAAAGATGAGATAAAGACATAAGCATGGAAAGGGAGAGGGAGAGAGAGAGAGAAGAAGAAACAGATCAACTGCTTATAAATTCATAAACTCTCGTTTTGACAGATTTTTGGCTGCGAGGTAGAAAATGAGCATCTGTGGCCGTTCTCTCTGAGCCAGAGCTCTAACTTCACCACGGCAGTTTGTTGCTTGATCTTATGTCAAAAACCAACATTTCCCACTCTGCACGGCTCCTTCCGACAAAACACCACGCTGCTGCCAAAACAAAAGTCTGGGTTGTTAAAAAAAAAAGAAAAGAAAAGAGTCTAAACCGCTGCCTGAATAATGCAGAGCAGCTGCTTCCTCGTCTGCTTCAGATCCAGCCTGTGGACACCGTCCTTCTGGCGGCCGTCAAGTCCAGAAGCGATGTCTATTATTCGGTGGCGTCTACGAGCCCACTGCTCTACCTCACCCACCCAAGCTCGCAGCCCCTGAGGAGACCCCTCACTGTCACCCTTCCCTGTCCCCCGAACCCTGAGAGAAAGAGGGACGTGAGGGGACAAGAGAAACAGACGGAGCATCACCATGGCGGACGTGTTGCTCCAGCATGGGATCAACCTGCTTCCAATAGAGTGAGGTAACAAAGCCACCATGTGAAGCTGAGAGAACTGAATGTTCTACAGCTTGAAGCAACACTATTCATCCAGAACTCCAGTCTACACTTCGTTGTTTCACTTAACTGCAAAGACACGAAGACTGAAAGAATTGAATCACTACTTTCACTTGCAATGATTTCTGATGTCTTTGTCTCTGTCAGAGAGTTTCGTGCCTCTCTGAAGTCCCCAAAGGAAACGTCCAATGAGCTGCTCATAGTTCTGGTGTCAAGGGACAAACAGTGGAGCGTCTTGGAGAAAGTGACCGTCAGGAACCTGCAGAACGGACTGGTGTCTGTCGAGCTGACAGAAAACTTTGACAGGTTGGCAACAAGTTTTCTGCTCTTTAAAATAATCATCAGTGCAAAAGTAAATATCTGATGAGAATAGCTGTTGGATATTGCAAATAAGCTTTAAAATCCATTGATCAAGGTCCGAGTCGATCGCTGCATATTTTTGAATTGAGAGGCTTTGTATTGAAAAATAAAAATTGCAAAAATACTAAATTTTAGAGGATATATTAAAAGACAAGGAACAAAATGTACTTTGAAGCATTTATTTTGAGCACATCTATGACAGCACGGCTCTGTGAAGGTGTTGATGCACCTTCCAACTGAACAAGACAATAACACAAAGTGCAATGTGAGGCAGGAGCATCCAGAGCAGAACAACAGACAGTGCAGACGACACCAGGCTCAGACGAGAGGGGGCTCGCTCGTTTGAATCGTCATTCGTCTGAGGTTCGGTTCTGATTCGAGAAGTTTGTCCTCCAACAAGAAGTGTAATCTGAAAACCACACAGTATAATATCAGTTGAGTTGTTTCATACCATAGTTCAGACACATGCGATCGATTTCGTACTGCGTGTCCTCGTTGCTGAGCCGTCCTGCTGAAGTCGACCAGCCACTGCAGCTGGTTTGAAGGGTTGTTGGTTTTCAGCTCGCTGTAGTTGTGTCCCGTGCACAGCGTCAGTACAGACCAGCCTCTCACCCCCCAAATGAGGATGTAACAAATCCCGCATCTGACCACAGAACAAATGCTTTAAAACTCTACATTTCAACTAAAGTGAAAATGTTTTCATATACCGTGTGTACCTTTTCACCGATATGTTGTTAGGATACGTCGACTCCAGGTTTATTTGTTTCTCAGAGGAAACAGGAAAATCATAGGATCCATGCTGCGCTGCTCTTATCGCATCAAGGAGACTGCTGAGACTGAAAAGAACAGTTTTGATTGTTTGATACAGAAAATAATAATTTTACGGTGTGCAGAGCATCTCACAGTCCTTTCACACCTTTTAGTGAAGTACAGCCTCTTTTTCAGTTTTCGTTTTGCCAAGGACTTTTTCTGCAAGACACAAAAAGTTAGAAGTGTTTTTTAGCAAACAACATTCTCACATTTTTGTGATAGAGAGGATTGGTCTATCTCATATAGACTGTACGTAAAGATGGACAACATGTCTCCACTTCCTCACTATCCAGAAATGAAGCCAAAATATATCCGATGTGAACTCTGCCATCTTGTTATGAAAACTGTCATGTGGAGCCAGAGGTCTCACCGATGCACGCGCTCGACCAATCATGTGTCAGTCTCTGCTGTCAATCATGATGTTTCAGCCTGTTTATATGGCATCAAGTAACCAATTAAAACCAAACTTACCAGAACATCCATCAGTGTAATAAGAACTACCTAAAACAACAGAAACCACCTTTAAGAAAAATGCATTTCATGAGTACTTTGACTTTTTGGTTTGTCCCATCCACTAACATGGAGGAGGCAGGGTTTTTGACCTATACCGTAGTCAGGCACCAGGTGGCGATTGACATGTTTTGGCTTCACTTTTAGGCGCAGTCATGTTGTCCATAGTTAGAAACAGTCTGTGGTTTCTCACAACATGGATTTGGTTTCTGAGGCCCATGAGTGTGATGAGTGCGTTTGACAGGCGCAGCAGCTTAGCGGGGTCCTGAGCCGTCCTCACAGCCACATCCACACACCGACACCCAGCAGTGACCGTCATCAGGAGACCTCCGACCACATAGAGGAGGTAGACGACGTTGCCCCTGGTCACACAGACACAGAGAGGTAGGGAATGAGGGTTTGCATGTTTGAGGAGAACAGCTGTTTGTGAAGTGTAATAAAAATTAGGGATTTTTACCTGTGGACATTCAGCTCTGGTGGAAATTTCAACATGGAGGGATCTGATGTGTTGACGAGACTCTGAAAGTGTTAGAATAGAAAACAACAAGTTAAAGTGCAAATTATTCATATCCCAGATTGTAAGAAAGATGACAGCACCCCAAATGTAAGGTGCCTTCAATGCCTCCTGGTGGCTGGCTGCAGTATAGGTCATACCCCGAGCTCCTCAATGTCCACTTGATTGACAGCTGAGACTGACTTGTGATTGGTCAAAGGCGTGTATCAACAGGACCTCGCTAACGCAGCTCTGCGGCTACTGGTTGCAAATTATGTCATCAGTGCAAGATGGTGGCGTTCATACTCTGGATGTTAAAGGTTCATTCCTTAATAGAAGTGGAGACGTGTCGTCCATCTTTACTTACAGACCACAGTTCATATACAAGACAAATTATTTAATGAAAAAAGACTAAAAATTACATTTGTTTGAGCATCATGTGACTCTGACATGTTCTTCGTTTGCTTCTTGTTATTGAAAAACATTTACCATCATCATCACAGCATGAATCTGACCTCTCTCTTGAATCTGGAGTCAAATACTCAGTCGAGACGTGACAGACGTTGTTTTCCTTTTTCCTGGACGATTAAATTCTACTCTCAAATGTAAAGATCACGAACTCACCGCTCGTGCAGCTTCAGTTCCACGTCTCTGGTTGTTAGGAGCACACGCCTTTTTATCTCGACACGTTTTACTTCGGAGGAGCACAGGACAAGAAACGCAATGTGGAACGCTACAACTGACTTAAAGAGAACTTTCCTTTACATAACGGGTTTAAGAGAGGCAGTATGGATGAAGGGGTGGGGGGGGGCACAAATGCTTTGAATTCCAGGCTTTAGCTTTTCTATGTCAGAACATAATCACAACTGAAAAATCTTCAGAAACCTCTGCGGAAAGAAAAAAAAATGAAAAAAGAAGTGACTGATATTAGCCAGCGAGAATTAAATTAAGAATATTAGTTGTACAGTGAGAATTATTCCTTTAATAAGAGAGGAGTTTCATTATTTCCCTCTTGAACTATAATAGTTTAAATACTTATTTAAAATCTAACACAGCTTCCCTTTGGAATAATGTATGTACTGAAGATAGTATGAATTTTTTATTCCATCTTAAGAGTATTAAGTTTGTTCTCCAGCCCACGGTAGCAGACTCATCTCTTCAGCCACAATCTAATCTCTTCACTCAGCTCCACTTCTTAACTTTCTCTCTCTCTCCCCCCTCGCTCCACTCAGACTTTTGCTGGTCCGTCTCCTCTCCCCCCTGCAGCCCCCTCACCTCACCTCCCTGGCAGAGCGGCTGGAGGAGTCGGTGGGCTGCCACGCCGTCACCGTTGTTCTCCAGCGCCGCCGAGATGATCCTCACACGGCCCTGGTGGCGGCCATGCTCAGCCGGGACCTCAGCTGGGAGCTGAACAAACTGAGGGCTCAGGGCTACGGCGGCCCGCTGGAGGCCTCATCAGACATCTCCATGTCCGAGGGGGATCAGCTCCTGCTGCGTTTCAGTGGCAACATCACGTCCACAAGTACAGAAACACATTGACATTTTGACATGATTCTCTGAGTCCTCTTGATTCTGTCTCCATTTCATTTTCATGACACTGCAGAGCTGGACTGCACAGGACAGTGACATAAGGAAATGCAATAATCTGTCTTTTGCAATAGGAAGTCAAAACAACCGAAATGACGTCCCACACGAGAGACTCACCTTTCACACTCAGCGCACGAATCACCTCCTGGTGCGACTGACCGAAGTGGACCCGTTTGGGAACTACAGCTCCCCTCACTACAAGGGGGCGGCCATGTTTTATAAGGTCAACAGAGGTCAGCTGGAGTGGCGAGGGGACGGAGCCGTCCTGATGGACATGAAGCTGCTGGGAGACCCCGTGTGTGCACTGTCACTGACTTTACCTAAGGTGAAGCAGAGGATTCCATTTTAGAATTGATGTGAAAAGCTTGAGTTAAAGAAAGAAAAGAACGATATTAATTATTCAATTTTGTCTCATTTCAGAAAGTGCGTAGTGTGAATCGACCCGTGACAGCGAGGGTGAAGTTATGTGAGGAGACAGGTGAGTGAAATGTCTCTTACTTACAGGAAAATATTTCTTTATTTAATACTTTGCATATAATTTCTAGTACAAAGCATATGTAGCTTTTTCTGATGGATTAATTTTCATGACTCATTGCCAAATGAAAAAAATCCCACTTATGAAATAGAAATTGAGTCTAAAATAAAAATTTCCTTAATCACCAAAGTGTTCCTTCCTCCATCCTCCCCCCAGACTCCCTGTCAGACTCTCTTCTTCTCTGGTTGGCCGGCGAGCTCTCAGAGGAGGAAGTGGCCGTGCTGGTTCTGTCCCTGCGTCTCCGTCGCAGCGTTGCTCAGCTGGTGAGGCTGCGGGCCGGGGACAGCCTGACCTCCCAGGCCTTCCACGTCCTGGTGACCTGGAGGAGGGGGCTGCCCGCCGCCCCGCACCAACTCAAGGCCTCTCAGCTGGCCCGCTGCCTGGCCAAGAGCGGCAGGCCGGATCTGGCCAGAGAGCTGCTCCTGAGACAGGCCGCAGCCACCAGACAGGGCTCGATGACATAGGAGAGAGAAATCCCATCACAGAGCTTTTTTAATGCTGACCTGCTTGCAGTGCTCGGTTTAATCCACAAGATGTAGGCATTTGACTAGGAGAGTTTTTATTCTCCTCAGACTTGAGTTGAATCTTACACACCACTGGTTCTCAACGTGTTCGGCTTATGAGGCCTTAAAAATCGAGGTTCATCTACTCGAGACTCATTTTATTTGAGCCGTTTTTAATGGTCGTAAAATATATGAGCATCATCGATTTGATTTTTAAGAAAAAGTCTCACATTTGTTTTTCATCTTGCAGCAAATTTTTTGCTTTCATGCCTCATCAAATGTCACTGACCAATAATAATACACCCAGTGATATTGATTATATGCATATCTCAAAGTAGGACACTAAGGAAGACATTCAGACAATCAAATAATAAAAAAGTAGTAGTAGGAGTACTAGTAGTAGAATTAGTAATATTCACTCAGTATATTTACCCTAGACATTTGTAATTAATATTTTACCTCAAACTGTGTATTAATGCAACAAATGTCAATAATCTGACTCAGCACAGATACGTCTATAATAACTTAGTAATATACTTTCTTCTATTAGAGAAGATGAACCTTTATTGAGAGGAAACTCACAATTAACGCAACAGCAAGAGGAAGTGGCAACACAAATAATAAACAAACCTAAATTGTGTGTTAACCTACACATGTGGTCGCATTTTGTGTTTGTGTTTTATTTCTCAGGTTTTGAATTCAGTTTTTTTTTGCGGGGGGGTGAAGCATTAATCTCTGTCACCACCTTCACATTCTCACTTTATTTTCTAGTTTGTCTCCACACAGAGAGAGAGAGAGAGAGAGGCAGGAGATTTACTCGACCAGTCAGCCGTCTCCTCTCTCTGTGTAAACAAACGCTGACGCTGAGCTGTGACCCGTTTTCAGCTCCCTGACACGGAGTCATCGTTTCGACTTGATGTTGATGACTGATCAGAAAACAAAGGCTTTTCTTTCGGTATATTAATATATTTCTGTTTTATTATATATACTGAAAAAAACCTGGAAGAAACTGTATGTGTGTCTCTTTTGGGGAACATTTGACATGTATATGCCTTTAAAATAATAATAAAATCATGGATTCAACCCTCTCAGATGTGTTTAATGTATTCATATATTCAAGTTCTTTTTTTTTTGATTATATATAAATGGGTGAAAGTGATTGAGCTGAGGGTGACTCATGATTCGTCAAGTGCCCGTATCAACGGTAAATACTCATCATCCCGATCACTGCTGCACACACCGGACAAAACTGTGGCTGCACATGTTCAAGATGGCAGCCTTAGTATCCTTAGTTTGCTTTGGCTTCATTTCTGGACAGTGGCAGGAAGTGGAGACACATCCTCCATCTTCAGTCTGTGGTTCACACACATCTTCAAATGTCATCTTGATTTGTTTTTATAACGCTGATCCTTTGAGTGTTGCAGGGGGCTGGAGAAAATCCCCGCTGACATTTGGCGAGAGGCGGAGTAAACCCCGGACGGATCACCAGCGTGTCGCAGGGTCAACATACAGAGACAACCATTCATCATCATATTCACAGCACAATTCAGAGTCTCCATTAGACTTAACTCTAATCTGCATGTGTTTGGACCCACACAGACGAATGGAGAATGGTTCAAACCCAGAACTTTGTTGCACCATCGTGCTGTCCTCTGACCAAAAATCACTAATAAAGAAATACAGCGTTAATCAAGCTTATTTTAAGCAGTGGGTAACTTGTGTAAAAAAAAAGTCTGATTTCAGCTGTGAGGCTCCAAACTAATATTTCCGAATCCAAGAATTGACTTTGAACCTCAAGTTCCATATAAAGCAATAGAGGCAAGAAGTCCTCAAAGTTCCCAGAAATAAAAATGTAAATTTGAACATGTACAGTTCCGTGACAGGCGGAAAGGTCGTGTGATATGATTGAAAGCACCAGGGCCTTTAATAAAAAGGACCCGGAGGTGAGACGCTTCACCTCCTGTGTGTATTCTATCAGAGGTGAAGAGGGTTTATGTAGCGCCACAATGAATTCCTCCTATAACTACATTGCAGGGAACAGGAGTTTGTTCTGTCTTTTTAATGACATTCACTGGGGTTTTGCTATTTCATCAGTCTTCAGAGGCTCCCCTGCTCCAGCTGTGTGACATTCTGCAGGCCTTGAGCTGAAGCAGGGGGGGTAATGATCGATGCTGTGTGTCCAGGTGGGGGGTAAGGGGACCCCCCCCCGTGGACACGGAGGAGACCACCCAGCGCCGCAAATAGGGTGAATGTTTAATGAAGTATGAAATGGTAACAGGTGGAGTTGACAGATTAAAGATGTGCTTCATCGCATGTCAGCAGACAAAAATATTAGGTAAGAAGAGCAATGAGGAGACGGCAACATTCTTTGAATTAATACGAGAAATATAAGATATCACATAATTCAGCAACACAATAAATGCGTCCTTCTATCCCCGAGAAACGAAGGCTCCAACAGGTGGATCCTTCCCGGCTCAACCTATCCCAGGATTCATTGCGTTTTAGTGACAAACTGTTTTTCAATAAGATACTAGTGCCAGCGTGCATAGAGGCTACAACTTCTAATTATAACGATAATAATAAAAAAATTATGATAATAATTATTCAAACTTTCTTCATATAGCCCAAAGTTACAAAGTGCTTGACCAGTAAAAAACACAAGTAATATAAAAATAGAATGTGTGATAGAAACATAAACAGGACTAACCCTGAAAATAGGTGAAAACTAATAGATTTAGGTGATATGAGGGAATGTGGTGTGAGAAAAAGCTCTTATTCAGAGGAAGATACTTTACTTAACCTGCTGTGTATAATTTTTATGTGATGGACGGCAGCTTTTCTGAAAAGGTGGTTAAAAGTTGTGATACCATCATACCGACTGAAAAATGCCTCCTCCATTCATTCAACCTTTCCTCTTCCCTTTATTTCCTGCCCTTCTATTATTCCTCAGCTCGGCACTTATGTGGGGGTATTGCTCCCATATTTCACTTTCAAACTCTTTACACCCCCTCTCGCTATTATCTCCTCATTTTTCTTCCTCCTTTCCCTTCAGAATGATTCTAAAGGACACGTGTGGCCTGACTGGCAGAGGAGTTTTGTGCCTGAAGAGTGCGTGCCAGAGGGGGGTATCATTAGTCTGGTACAGAGCCATCAAACACACACACATGCACACACCCACGTCGAGGGCTTCGCTAGAGGTAAATGTCACAGAGGGGGCTCCCACAGTGCCAGGAAATCGTTTCCTCTCTCGTTTTATCTCCCTTCTCTCCCTCCTCTACATTATTGAAAAGGCCACGCAGCAAGGCACTCTGGGAGGTTGCCCGTCGTCCAGCGAAGGAGGATATCGGGGGCTGATGAGGTGAAGTGTTCCCGGCATAAAGAGATTCTGATTAAAACCTCATCATTCATTTCATCATCCGCAGTCTTCGAAGTTCGGGGCGCGGTGGCTTATCAGACGAGGCTTTCGTGCTTTATGCTGTCAAGGCAAAACAGTTGCGATGTGACTGAGATGCAGAAGCAGTCCTGGGTGAACAGACGCGCTGTCACAGCTCATCCTGAGAGTTCCGGACTGTAACTTCCACATCAGGGAGAAATGCAGGCTTCTCTGATGTTAAATTGGTTGTTAGCAATAAATAGAATAAACTGGAGACTTTATTTTAATTGTGAATCTCAATTTTCATAGTAAAAACTTGATCCACCGTGATAAAAGATGGTTTAAAAAATAGATTACGACCTGTTTTTGTATCTGAATGGACACATGGACGGCTCCTGTGCAACTGCTCATTCTTACAAAAACGAGGATGGATCAAATCTCAGGGGTGATTCTCGACTCGCGGCCCGGGCCTGACTCCATCCCTGTTTGTGTGTGTGTGTGTTGGAAACGGGCGGATAGCGAAACCTCTGAGGTGAGCTGCTCACTGGTCCATGGCAAACTCTTCATTTGTCCCTGATTTCAGTGGCAGACAGGGCAGATGGACTGGGCGCGTCCATGTCCTGTGAGGGCCTGAGTTTCCGTTTCAAAGGACAACGAGCCATGAATAACATTCAGGGAACATTTTCTCAAAGTTTCTATCGCGAGCATCGTGTTTTGATATAGATCGGGTTTTAAATTTAAAGTCTTGGAGAGGTCAGTTTTTTGGGTTTTCATCACTCTCATAGAGGCTAAAACAGCAAAACAGCTCTAAACATCCACTGTCTGCTGCCGTCTCACGACCAGATGGGATCAACAACTAAACAATGAGCTTTCATCATGAATTCATCCCCAAGAAAACCACACTCTTTCTCCCTGGAGCTGGAGGAGACCAAACCGGAGCTAAAAGAGGAGTGAAAATTGGACATTAATCAACTCTAAATAGATGCTCGATGTTTTTCTGTGTCTGCTGCATTACCTCATGGGCAAGTGTGTGCTAAGAGATTAGCATCATCATAGTAAAATGCAATATATTGTGCTTCTGGTTTGTTAGCATAGTACATAGCTATGCAGGTGAAAAATTATTAAAGTCAAAATTTTCCCTGCTGATGAGAAACTGCTCATTTCTGCCACGAACCAATTTCTTTGATGGGTTTAGTGAGTTGGCAAAATACAACATGTGCTGTGGTTCAATTGTGCAGCAGGGGACAGCATTGTGATTCGTTCCATTCTTCCTATGGGCATGGACGATTCCAAACTTAGGTTATTTTCAAATGATGTGTTCACGTGCACAGAGGTCCGATCACATCCAAGTCCTCGTCGACTATTTTCTGGTGGAAACAATTGGTATTGTTTACTCTGGAAATCCCCCAAGATTGCATGAGATGTTGTGCGACGGAGCAGGAGGAAAAAAAGGTGAAAAAAGGTTGGGCTGATGGGGAGAGAAACGGAGGGAGCGGCGGGAGGGGTGAAGAGGGTGTTAGGGGAGTGATGGAATACAGAATAAACTGGAGAGGAAGGACACGAAAAGGAGGAGAGCGGACGAGAAGGTGTGACATGACGGGAGAGGGCGAAACGTGAGGGAGAGAAGGTGTCTCAGCAGTGTGTCTGATGGAGTGTGAAAGCGGCCTGACATCTGGAGGGTGTGTATCTCTGCATGATCCCAACGCTGGGAGAGGAGCAGACT